GAAAGCGCCATATTCATGGGCGTCCGAGACCCTCGTTGGCGTGCAGTTTCGTTGGCCCCAGGCCCGCGGTCACTGGCGCCCAGCTTGGGCCGCGGTGGCTCGCTGGCAAAACTTCGAGCTGGTCGAGACGCCACGCCCATGCCTGTCGAGGCGTTTATGGCCCTGGCCATCGCTGCCCAGACGCAAAGATAGGACAGGACAGAAGCGCGCCTGCTCCACGCCTTCTATTTATTGCTGCGACCTTGCGAGGTTGCGAATGCCCCCAGGCAGCGCCCCGACTTGCCTGGGGACCTGGGCGACGACATCGACGCAGGCGCGCTCGCTCTGCTCTCTGCTCTCTGCAAAGACATTGGAGTGAGGGCCGAATTTCCAGAGCGTCCTGACGGGCGATCCTGCGCTGCTGAACTTGATGAGGCGCGTCTTTGGCTCCCTCTCGCCGACGGCGGCGTTGCGCCCAGGACGCCTGCGCGGGCTGGCCCAGACGTTCATCCGCTTCAAGGGCCTCGTCGGCATCAGCGATTCGCCCTGCGCCCCCAGGCCGCTGCGAGGAGGCGGGGCTATCCATCGCCCCCGCTCTCGCCGGGCGGTTTCGACGCCAGCGCGCCCAGGGGGCGAGACGCAACCAGGCGCGGGGCAAGCGCGGCAAACGTGGAGCAGGTCGAGGGCTGTCTGTCTTCGGGGCTATGTGAGGCCGCGCGGCAGAACCAGCACCCTTGGCCACCCTTTGACCAGCCTTTCCTGGCACACTTTACACATGGGGTGTTTTGGAGAACGAAGGTCGCAGATCATGATGGCGATGCTGACGGTGATGCTTTATGATGGCGGTGATGGCGATGACAATGACGACGATGGTGAAGATGGCGATGGGGATGGGGATGGTGTGGGTTTGGGTGTTCATACGGGCAAGACTTCGGATGATGAACATGATGACGGCGACACTGACGAGACTTGCGATTAGTATGACGAAGATGGTGATGGATATGTTTGGGCTGGTGGTGAACATGGTGATGATGTTAATGGCGGTGATGATGTTGATGTTGGTGATTCTGATATGATGAAGGTAGTGATGATGGTGGTAATAGTGACGGTGCTGATGGCGACGAATGCGATCATGACGAGAACGGTGCGCGCGATGATACTGATGCGCACGATGCTGGTGGTGGCACGAATGGCGCTGAAGGTGTTGGTGATTGTGATGGTGATGATGATGATGTGCAGATTGGCGACGATGGTGCGGAGGATGGCGGCTTCGAAAATCATGGTGGGACGATTTTGGTGATGATGCTGGTGATGCGCGTGATCATGCTGGTGATGGTGATGGGGTTGCGGGTGATAATTGTTGTCCCGATTGTTGTTCGGATTACGAAGGCATGCTGTTTTGTTGCAGGACGGCGACGGTGGTAATGATGAACACGGTGGTGATGATGTTGGCGGTTATGATGATGGTGGCGATAATGATGATGCTGATGGTGAGGCTCCTGATTGTGACTGTAAATGTGATGAGGATGATGATGGTGATGTTGATAAGGATGGTGCTGGTGGTGGTCAGAAAAGGGATGAGTATGGGGATGGGGATTCTGATGGCGAATATGAGGGTGGTGGTTAGTGTGATGCTGATAATGAATGATGTTGGTGATGGTGATGCTGCTGGCGATGGTGGTGACGCGGACGGTTGTGACGGTGACGGAGGTGGTGGTTGTGATGAGGGTAAGGATGATAATGACGAGGGGGGGAGGGGAAGGGGGAGGGGGACGGAGGAGAGAAAAGGGAGGAGGATAGATGAGGAGATGCGCACAAGCTATAGGTGGACGCGGTGCTTGTCAATTTCTGCATGTGGTGTGGGGCCGTAGCCGCACACACGGCGTATAGGTTGAACGATCCATCATGTCGATCCGACCCCAAAAATTGGCATCCCCAGAAGTTGATGAAGAGAACGCTGCCATGATGGGGAAGGTACGGTTTTCAAATCCCTGGCCTCTCCCCTTAGCGCGGCCAAACCTCACAAGAGCCTCCGGTTCCTGTTCCTCCCAGGTCCTGTTGCGCGTGACGGACCCGCAGGCGCAGTTTGGAGCAGAAATTCAGGTTTGCGTGGACGTTCCCGCGAGCTATTCAAAGTGTGTGTCGAGATGTGGATGCATGTGTAGCGAGGTTGGGATCAGTGTTTCTCTTGTGGAATGTTTGTCGGGAGGGGTCTGGCCACCAGCTTGCCCCCCGTGTCGCATCGAAGGCATCGGCTTAGGATTAAGTCAGACATCTTCCTCCACAGGAGGAATATTCAATTTCTGATAAAAAGAGAAGTCTGTGGACGATTTAACTGTTATGCTTTGCTTATTTGTCCCAACCATCCTGTGGTGTTGGGTCCTCGGTTTGAGGAGACGGTCCTCGCGTTCCTTTATTCCTCCCCCCCCCTCCTCCCTCCTCCCGTCACTCCCCTCACTTTGGCACACCGCTCACACGTTTTGTGGCCCCATAGGGAGCTCCACCGAAGGCCCCACTGGGGGTGCCCGCATGCCTCCGCCACACGCAGTACAGCGCTTCGTTGCCAGAGAGCTCCACCGAAGGCCCCAGTGGGGGGGTGCCCGCATGCGTCCGTCACACCCAGTACAGCGTTTCGTGGCCCCTCAGGGAGCTCCACCGAAGGCCCCAGTGGGGGTGCCCGACGCCCAGTACAGCGCTTCGTGGCCCCATAGGGAGCCCCACCGAAGGCCCCAGTGGGGGTGCCCGCATGCGCCTCCCACACCCAGTGCAGCGCTTCGTGGCCCCATAGGGAGTTCCTCCTAAGGTCTCAGTGGCGCAGCCCGCATGCGCTCCCCCACCGAGTACAGCGCTTCGTGGCCCCATAGGGAGCTCCACCGAAGGCCCCAGTGGCGCAGCTCGCATGCGCGTCCCTCACCCAGTACAGCGCTTCGTGGCCCTAAAGGGGGGCTCCACCGAAATTTCCAGTGGCGCAGTCCGCAGGCGTCTCCCCCACCCAGTACAGCGCTTCGTCGCCCTACAAGGAGGCCCCACCGATGACTATACCTAAAACTGCAGTTTTCACAACTGCATCTGGTTGGGCCTTCTCGCCAGGCTCATTGAATATTGTGACTATGCTTCGCTTTTCTTCCGAAATCCCCCTGTAGGAGGACATGCCCGACCCACTCGTGGGAAGAACGCACGGGCCAGGGCCACCAGGCAGAGGAGTTCTGGCCACCAGGCCCCCCCTTCCCGTTGACCGCGAGGGGCCTGCGGCCCGAGTTGTCCCGCGGTCTGGAGCGTGGCCTTCCAGCTCTCGCCGTTCAGCAGAAGGGAAAAGCACACACAGACAGGATGCGTCGCCGATCCCCAGGAAAAGATCGGAAAACATTGGAAGTGTGTGGGAGGGGGGCAGACGAACGCCCAGAAAATATCAACGGCCCGACAAGTTGGGGTTGTTAGATTTCAAGAACAGGCCCCCCAGCCACCCCCACCCTGCATACCGCGGCCGCCAGACCCCAAGTTGTCCCGATGGTCCCTGGTATCCCTCCTCGCGCCCGGCCAACCCCACCCTGCATACCGCGGCCGCCAGACCCCAAGTTGTCCCGATGGTCCTCGAGAGTCCTGGGTGTCCCGCCTCGCGCCCGGCCAACCCCACCCTGCATACCGCGGCCGCCAGACCCAAAGTTGTCCCGATGATCCCCGAGAGTCCCGGGGGTCCCGCCTCGCACCCTCGGCGAACACGCCAGAACACAACAGGCCAGAATGGAACAGAGAATGACAGTACATGGCATAACAGAGCACATCAATGTCATGACTAAGTAGAGTATGACATAACATCACATAACATGCCAGAGCATAACACTGCATAACATAAACCCGCAGACCACGACATGCCATAGCATAGTCGAGCATACTATAACACATGTTGGTAGGACCTACCATATCGTGGCACAGCATCACAAAACAAATATCATACCACGACATCAGAGCATAGCGACGACGAACACGGCAGAACACAACATGACACAACAGATCATGGCAGGACAGAACACGAGCATGACATACCATGGCAGACCATAACATAACAATGTCATGACAACATCGGGCATAACATAACGTCACAGGACATATCAGAGCAGAACATGACATAACAGAAGACGGCATAACACAACCTAGCAGATCATACCCGATCATAACCTTACGCATCTTGACAGAACATTTCATAACATGACACTGCATCACAGAACATAGCATAACACGACAGCAGGGCATATCGACACCTACCAGACAAGCATATTGTAATATACGATACAGAGCCGAGCCGTCAACAAGCAGAACATCACAGAACACACCAGAGCTGGACATGACATAACAGAAGACTACACTACACGACAAAGCAGAACATAACCAAGCAACACATCAAAAAATAACATTGCATGATTTATCAGGGCATCACAGGACATATCAGACCCCGACAGCAAAACACAGCGAAACATACTAGCACAGCCTATCGTAAAATACTATACCGAGTCGAGCTGCCAACAGCAGCACGGAGCAACGCATACGATAACATAGTTTGACATACCATGCCATGCCATAACATAGTGTTCCAGAACACATCGCACCATAACATTTCAAAGTATAGGGAGACAGAGATGAACATGGCGGAACATATTCAGTCATAAGAGAAGCATAGTGAAGAGGAGCAGCATAACAGACGGCGCATCTAACGCTCACAGGCGTCACGACGTCACGCTTGCCAGTCGAGAACAGAGCAGGACAGAATAGAGCACAACATGAAAGAGTGTGACTACATGGAACACGACGGAAACAACGTCTTCAGTCCAAAAACGGTAGTTGCCGACCAATCAGGCGACTGCGCGCCGCCGGGAACAAACGCTTACGGTTTCGGTGGGGATCGCTCAAAACAAAATAATGTGTGTGTGTCTGTGTGTTTCTGTTTGTGCTTGTGTTTGTGATCGTGTTCGTGTTTGTGTGTGTGTGTGTGTCTGTGTGTGTGTCCGTGGCCCCCTCCAATTCAGGGAGCACGACAGCGGAGGTCGAATACACCGCGGAGACGACGGGGGAGGAGAAGGATGAAGACGAGGAGCAGGAGGATGCGGCAGCGGGGGGAGCTCCTCGAGTGCTCGCTGCCCTGGGGTGGAAACGACTTGTCATTCTGCTCGCCAGCGCCCCATGGTGACGACACGGCGCGGCAAGATCGTGGCACGGTGGGCGCCGAGGGTGGGGCACGCGGCGGCACGGTGGCCCAAAAGTGCCCCAGTCTGCTCCGAGCGCGAGCTTTGAAACAGGTCGTGGACACCATGTGTTTCTGCAGCGGTTAGAGCGTATGTTGTGGCACGAGTGGTGGTGTGAAAGCACGCGTGCATGCATCCGTATACTAGTGATATACGCACTGAGCTACCTGGGAGCACGCACCAGCTTGTGCAGCCTGTTCGGTGACAGCCGTGAGGAAAAGCGGATATGGGGGTGAAGGCATGCATGTTGCGCATTGATGACCATACAACATGCTTCGGATGCTTGCTGCAACTTTTTGGGGGTTGGCGGCCAGAGAGAGAGTGGGCCGCGTTCTGCAACAAAGAGCCGACCACATTGTGAGCATTGTGAGTGATGCGTTTGATTCACCCGTTGGGGGGCGGAAGCGATCCGCGCAAGGATAAGCATCGTGAGGTTGAACACCACCATGATGCCATGACTGAACATGACGAGCTGTCTCCCGAGCACGAAGAGTGGCACCGCGTAGCTCCCTCGAAGGGTGATCCCGAGGAGCAGCATGACGACGCGGAATTGCACAAGGCGCGGTTGCGTCCCTGCATGGATTCAGACGCCAGTTGGGAGGTGCAGCAGTGGCAGCATCTGTGCAAGCGGCGACCAGAGAGCCAATGTGCAACCGTTGCACGCAGAATAGGTCAGCCGTCAATGTGTACGCGGGCGTTCTTGCCACGCGACGCCTTGCATTTCCTGCCGACCGTCAATTCGGACCAAACTCCGAACTAACGCGTATACCTAAGTGCGAGAATTTGCACAGACCAACGCATGGCAGTGACACGTTGTTGACACATATTTCTGTTGACAGGTCCGACCCATCATGTTGATACGCCGCAGTGACCCCCAGTGCCAAAGCAGTGAGGGCGTGCAGCCTTGCCTCGTCATGCTGGTGCTCATAGTCGACACACACTGCCGGATAGCAGAGCTAGCACTCATTGAACACAGTGATTGCACAGCGCAATTAACAGTGTTGAAGGAGAGTGGTGACATTGGGTGCCGATGCCCAGTGGAACCGCAGTGCTAGCGCACATTGCTTGCACACGCAGGGAGCCCACGACGCTGGCACGACGAGAACAAAGCTGGCACTACATACCCACAGGAGGCCTTGCGCAGCGCAGGCGCACGAGGCATGCGCACGTTGCCGTTGGGGGTGCCCTGCGCGGTCTGGCACCGCTCCTCGCTCCAGGGCTACATGAAAAATTGCTCGCGGACTGAGATGACCCGGGCTTGCCGCCCGGACAACTGTGTCAATCAGTAGAGATTGCCTTGGAAGGGGCCGCCCGGACAGCGGGTGAGCGAGCGGCATGGGTCGGATGCGGCCAGCTGTAGGTTTGTCGCCACCTCCTGTGTCGCCGACCTCCTCCGCTCTCTCCCGATCGCGTGTTCTCGCCCTCCTTTCCTCCTCCCTCCTTTTCCGCCTTTGCCTCATCGAGTATGAGAAGCCCCATGGGCCCTGTCTCGGACGGGGCTTGGACGAGGATGAATCCGATCCAGAGCGTTCCAGAAGGCTCCCAGAGCGTTCCAGAACGCTCTGGGAAGGCCTTGGCGCCCGAGACAGCCTCCAGAGCCGCCGGCTCTCGGAGTTTCTCGGCTTATCCTCATCCCAATGTATCCTCGTCCTGACTTCGTCTTACTCACCACCCACCAAACCACCCCAACCCAACCCGAAGGCTTCAATTTGCCCTCCATTTCCAGTGTGGGGGGGGGTTGGGGAACATTGCAAAAACACTTGGAACCCATACCCCCCCAACCAGAAATGCGATTCAAATTGCGGTCTTCGGATTGGGTTGGGGTGGTCTGGTAGGTAGTCATTTACTGTCCCTCCCCTCTTTCCCCATGTTCTTCTCCTCACGACAGCCTTCTTTCTGCTTCGCATCCTCTCGGAGGCGAGGAGGAGCGCACGCTCACCCCTTCACTCACGCACGCTCCCCCAGACTTCTCCTGTCCATAGGGCTCTGCGTGAGCCCCATAGTTACACGGGAGCTTCACCATCAGCGCTTCTGGCCGAAGCATGCGGTGCACAGTGGCGCTTCGGTGCACCCTTCTCCGAGCTGTACGTAGTTACACGGGAGTGTCACCATCAGCGTTTTTGGTCGAAGCATGCGGTGCACAGTGGCGCTTCGGTGCACCCTTCTCCGAGCTGTAATCGCTCACCCAGTGGAGGCACGGCCTCTACAGGGAGGGAAGGAGGTGTGAAAAGAGAAGGTGGGAAGGGGGAACGCCCCCTCGCTGCAGCCCGCATCCGCTTGACGAGAAAACTCCCACTCCCGCTTGCAATGCCACCGCCACTACTTCCCCTGCCGCCTCGAAGGCTTTGGCCTTCTGCTCTTACCCCACCCCACTTCGCCTGACCGAGTAGTGGACGGAAACGATTGTGTACAGCCGGACCGAGGTATCAGATGGAGGTCGGTTCGGAGAGAGCATTTCCGTGGTCTTGTTGTTTGCTGGCTCTTCCTGTGCATCCCGAGAAAGACACCCTTGGATGTTCTGTCTGCTTTGGCAGGCGGAGGCCTGGGCCCGACTGTCTGGTAAAGCGTGCGGGACTCTCCCTCCGCTCGGCGAGCTCCCGACCCGTGGGTCGAGCCCGCGGGCCCCCGTGCCGAGGGAGGGGGAGCGAGTCTGGGTGCTCACGCCCCTGTGCCCGCTCCCGCTCCGGCTGTGCCGCTCGACTGCTGCCGTGCTCGCCCCGCATGTGCTCGGCGTGCGCTCCTGCTTCGGGGCCCCTCGTGCGCATGCCGCCGCTGCTCCTCCTGGGCGTTGTAGCTCGTAGCTCGACCGCCTGCCCCGGTGATCATGTGTCCGTCTCCTCTCGCGGGTGGCTGCCAGCGGCCTCATTGTCGAACCCTCCCCCGCTCGATGTCACGCCCCTGCCCGACAGTTCCGCGTCTGATGATTCCCAGTGTTTCTCCCATTCGTTGTTCTTCTCACACTGCTTCACACTGCTTATTGCTCGATATTCATGTTCATACTCATACCCACACTCATGCTCATACTCTTGCTTACGATTCTTATTGGCGTCAGTTCCACGTGCACTCAGTAGATTTCCTGCCAACTTACACAGTACATGATCATATTGCCACTCACAGCATGTCCCCAGTCCTGAGCTTGACCATCTCCCCACGTAGAGTCCAACATGTATACCAGCGTGTCATAAGATGGCAGTAACAGCTGTCACCGAAACTGTAAACATGTGGTGTGCCTTCCATGCTGTCGAAGGTCATCAGTTTGTGGTCATCCGTTTTGACCTACATATATACATGTATAGACAGATGCACATGCCAACATATATGTGTATATTTATATGATACACATGTACATGCATGATGCCCACACATATGATCACGTGGTCCTCTTCTTATTCGTCGTAACTTGTCACGTTCCCACCTGTTCCTCCCCATCGGTCCCTGCAGTTAGTAGTAGTAGTACTACTACTACTACTGCCGCAACTACTACTACTACCACTACTACTACTAGTACTACTACTACTACTACTACTACTACTATTACTACTACTACTACTAGTACTAGTACTACTACTACTACTACTACTACTACTACTACTACTACTACTGCGACTACTACTACCACTACTACTACTCCTACTACTACTACTACTACTACTACTACTACTACTACTACTACTACTACTACTACTACTACACTGACGACTACTACTACTACTACTACTACTACTACTACTCCTACTACTACTAATACTATTACTACTACTACTAACTACTACTACCTACTACTACTACTACTACTACTACCACTACTACTACTACTACACTACTACTACTACTACTACTACTACTACTACTACTACTACTACTACTACTACTGCTGCTGCTGCTGCTGCTGCTGCTGCTGCTACTACTACTGCGACGACGACGACGACGACGACGACGACGACTACTTCTACTACTACTACTACTACTACTACTACTACTACTGCTGCTCTGCTACTACTCTCTACTACTTACTACTAACTACTGCTAACTACTACTACTACTACACTACTACTACTACTACTACTACCACTACTACGACTCGACTACGACTACGACTACGACTACAACGACTACTACTACTACTACTCCTAGTATGATTAGTAGTGGGTATTACTAGCAGTAGTAGTCTTGGTGGTGGTGGTGGTATCGTAGTAGTCGTAGTAGTAGTAGTAGTAGTAGTAGTAGTAGTAGTAGTAGTAGTAGTAGTAGTAGTAGTAGTAGTGGTAGTAGTAGTAGTAGTAGTAGTAGTAGTAGTAGTAGTAGTAGTAGTAGTAGTAGTAGTAGTAGTAATAGTATTAGTAGTAGCAGGAGGAGGAGTAGTAGTAGTAGTAGTCGTAGTCGTCGTAGTAGTAGTCGTATTGTTAGTAGTAGTAGTAGTAGTAGTAGTAGTAGTAGCAGCAGCAGTAGTAGTAGTAGTAGTAGTAGTAGTAGTGGTAGTGCCAGTAGCAGTAGTGGTAGTAGTGGTAGTAGTGGTAGCAGCCTAGAAGAAGTACAACTGACAGTAATAGTATTAGGAACAGCAGTAGTACGAGAATGAGTAGTTGATCCTGCGAGAGGGCCATGGCCACCAAACCATATTATTCACACGTGTTGTTCTCCGGGTCATGGAAGCCACCAAGCATTGCTATTCGCGTCTGTTTTTGTTGTTTGTCTTGGTTGGCAGGATTTCCACAAACTTGGCCAGGAGGGCCTGCGGGAGGAGCATCAGGGACGCAACCAAACGATGCTAGTCATGTGTGTTTTGGTTTTGTCTTTTCGGGAGTTCCACAAACCTTGGCCCGGGATGCTACCTGTGGAGTTCCAGAACACAAGCCAAATCAATGTCCATAGCAGTGGTTGGTGGTTGTCTTGACCAAGAGGGAAATTCGAACAACAAAAACATGAATGGTACGGTTTGGTGTCCAGGCTTCTCCCCCAAGCCCTCCTGGCCAAGATGCTTGAACCCATGAAACTAAACAATATTTATAGATATACCTGTATATATAGATATAACCAAAAATGTGACCTCGGGGTGTGGTGTCTTCCTGACCAAAGAACGCTGTGCATCGTATGGCTTGTCGCCCCAGTCGGGCTTCGTGGGAAGAGGAGGAGGAGGAACAAGAGAAGGATGAGGAGGAGGAGCAAGGTGAGGATGATGTCGAGAAGCCTCTCATTGTCATCCCCCCTCCTGCTCCCATCACCAATCCTCCTGCTCTGCATGTGAAGAGGAAGCTGACGAGCCACGCATCTTCATCGTTCTCACAGGGTCTGGCTCCCATCACTCCTCCTCCCACTCGTATCACATTTCCGCTCCTCTTCGCTCCTCCTGTGTTGAGAGGGGTAGGGGGACTGTTATGAGAAGGAACACTAGGAGCAGAAGGAACAGGGTGACGGGGAGGACGATGAGGAGGACATTTCGGAGCCACTTCCCGTCATCTTCCTATCGCGTTCCCTCCTCATCCTCCTCTCCCTCTCCTTATATCACTCGCCCCTCCCAACTCGTCACCATTCTCGACCGCCTTCGTTTGACCACCCAATGGGAGGAGGAGGGGGTACGATGCCAATGAGGAAGGGTATTGGTATCAGCAGCAGGAGGGGGAGCGATAAGGCTGGAGGAGTAGGAAGATGAGGGCCCAGATAAGAATATTGAGCTTGAGGAGGAGCACGTCATCCTCATCCCCCTGCTCCCATGACCCATCCTCCTGCTGACCATCCTCATCTGAACCCTTTGTCATCCGCGTCCGCCTCCACATCAGCATCCTCCTTCTCGAACGGGGGGGAATGAGACGGTTTGGGGAGTATGAGGACGGGGGGGAGGGCAATATGAATAGAAGGATGATTGAGGAGGCATAGCATCATCAGCATCAGCATAATCAATCTCACCATCATCACCATCATCATCACCAGCATCCTCATCAGCATCCTCATCCTCATCCTCATCCCTCCGTTGTCCACCCCCCCTGCTCGCCATCCTTCAGTTGATCCTCCTGCTCCTCCGCCACTGCCCCCTTCTCTAGGAGGGGACGGTCGGGAGGAGGGGGGGGGGGGTAGGAGGAGCATGCGGGTGAGGAGCAACATGAGGAGACATAGGTTGAGGAGGCACGCATCACCATCATCAGCATCACCCGCCTGGCCCCATTACACATTACGTATGCTGCCCGTCATCAGCATATAAGTCCTCACCGCCTTTAGAGTCACCATCTTCCCCTTTCGCGGGGGGGGGGGGGTGGTACCACGGTGGGAGGAGTAGGGTGATGGGGGGCAATATGGGGATATTGATGTGTTGTACGACCACAGCCTACTGAACAGATGCAGCATATGCGCATACATGGCGCACGTATCTATAGTAGCACCCACCCATGGATATAGACATACACGTATACATGCATTCGCTTGTAGATGTCTACATAGATATGTGGCTTCTCC